AGCCCTCACGGGCAGGAGTCCATAACTCATTCAGGATTGAGAATGAGTTGTCTGGTAATCCTAAGAAACAACAATCTATTAGTTAACGGTGTTACATCTAAAGATTGGCTATTTCGTGGTCCGGTCTTATACAAACTCATTGTATAGGATACCCCCACTCGCATGTCTCCACTTGAACGACCTGGATTGAGTCGTCTGTAACCTTTACTGAGTGGGTCGTATCCATAGTGTTGCCAGGATAAGGTACCTAGCCTTATCCATATACTATAAACCCTTTAGGTTATTCACGGGCCATTATCCACTTGTATATCAGGGTATATCAAATATATACCTTGTATATCAGGGGTATATCAAATATATACCCAGTATATCAAATATATACTCAGTACATATACTGTCCCAGTTACACTAAAATAACCTCGGATGTTTAGTTTATTGGATTTTGGACAATGCAATGCTATGAATTCAACAACAAATTTATTGAATAAAACTTTATTGAATATACATTTGTTTTTACACAAAATACAAATTACGAGTTTAGGACAACACACCCAACAAAAACAGCTTTCCTTAATTGTGATTTAGAAGAGATCTACATGACACAATCTGAAGATTTTCTAACTATTGGTCAAGAAAATAAAGTTTGCAAGCTTAAAAAATCTCTCTATGGCCTAAAACAAGCTCCTAAACAATGGTATGAAAAATTTAATGGCACTTTGGTAAACAATGATTATAAAGTAAATTGCTTTGATACATGTGTTTACTCAAAATTGTTTGGAGCTGATTATGTGATAATATGTTTGTATATTGATGACATGCTCATTTTTGGTTCAAACTTAGATATTATTAATGAGACCAAGTTGCTCCTTTCTTTACATTTTGAAATGAAAGATCTAGGAGAGGCTGATGTAATACTTGGTGTAAAAATAAGGAAAAAGGATAATGGGTATTCCTTATGTCAATCACACTACATTGAGAGAATGTTGAAAAAATTTGATTACTTTGATAAATTACTTGTAAGAACACCTTATGATTCTAGTATGAGTCTTAAAAAGAATTATGACGATAGTGTATCTCAATCTGAATATGCAAAGATTATAGGTAGTGTAATGTTTTTAATGAATTATACTAGACCTGATATTGCATATGCGGTAAGCAGACTGAGTAGATATACTCATAACCCTAGTAAAGATCATTGGACTGCTCTACATCGGTTGTTAAGGTATCTTAGGGGTACAATGGACTATTGTTTGCATTTTAACAAATTTCCTGCTGTGCTAGAAGGATATTGTGATGCAAACTGGGTTACAGATAATGATGAAGTGAGCTCCACTAGCGGGTATGTGTTTAATTTTGGCGGTAGAGCTATCTCATGGAAATCGACAAAACAGACATGCATTGCTCGATCTACCATGGAATCTGAATTCATAGCACTTGAACTGGCAGGTCAAGAGGTTGTATGGCTGAGAAGCCTTCTTGGAGACGTGCCACTGTGGGGGGAAATGTGTACCTATATCCATACATTGTGACTCACAAGCTGCCATAGGAATTGCCAAAAACAGTATTTACAATGGCAAGAGATGCCACATACATCTAAGACATGGAGCTGTGAAGCAGTTGCTGAAAGATGGAATTATATCCTTGGAGTATGTGAGGTCCGAGAGGAACTTGGCAGATCCTCTCACCAAATGCCAAACAAGGAGAGTAATTCTGGAGTCCTCAGAATGTATGGGACTCAAGCCATGATGCTCGTGAAAGGAAGTGAATCCCGGAGCGGAAACGGATTTTCGTTGCTGATTTTCGGGATACAAAATTGAGTTTTAAAGAAGAAAATACAGGGGAAATTCCAAACCTTTGAAGAACGTTTCTTCAGTGAATTCCCCTCGAACACCACCACCGGATCTGCCTCGCTATCCTCTTAGGTCTCGGGATCGTGCTTGTGGTAGCACCTTGATCGAAGAGAGGGAGAAATTGAGAGAATTTTGAGAGAAAAATCGTTGGGAGTTTTTTTTCTTCTGTTCTGTAACCACTGTTCTTCTCCTTCTCCAACACTTGGAGAATAAGAAGAAGGGTGACGTGGGGTAACTCCCTATGTCACAACACCTCCCACTCCCCTGCAATTTTGCAGGAGAGTTAATATTAATAATAATATTAATAATAATAGTAATATTGATATTAATATATATATATAATATATATAATAATTAATATATATATATATATAATTAATTAATCAAATTAATTCATATAATTAATTATTAATCCAATTAATAATTAATAAATATATATATACATAAATAATTAACACTTAATTATTTATTATAAAATTAGAATCATATTCTAAAACATTTCTTTCGTATAACCTATAGTTTTAATGTACATCTTATGCACATTATTTTTAACTTATAGTTTTAATATGAATCTTATTCATATTAATTTTATTTGAATCTCATTCAAATAATATCTCTCATAATATATAGTTTTAATTTACAATTAACTATATATATTATAATGTATCAATATACATATAATCTCTTAAATAATTTGAACAATTCAAATTCCAAAAAATTTGATCCTCGTTTTACCCAGGTAGTAAGGGGACCTAATTGACCTACAGATCCGAAGCTCCAACGATGCAAGATTAATCGGTCAAACTCATTGACCGAGTTAATCTAGATTCGTTAACTACGAGTCATTCAACTAAAGACCCGCAGTTGCACTCTTCTCACTGCAGAATGTTTTCGTGTCCAGGGATATACGACCATTAATGACGAGTCAATCCTTCACGAGTGTTCGTAATTCAAGTTGGGTCAAATTACCGTTTTACCCCTGAGTTACATCTTACTCCTTAAACACCACTGCTCCTCTAATGAACAACCCGGTTATGGTCCAACCAATAACCGGAAGTCCCTCTCGGCCAATGAGAGGGTGGGGCCCCTTGTTCAAGTCCCGAAGTCAGCATTTAAGGGAACACTCATCTACTCCCCTAAAGTCGAGGAGGAGTGAATTTCATCTTGTGAAGTTATGTTCCCAGCTCCCCACTCGGTCTCGTCCCCAAAATGGTAGGAA